CTCAGAAGTCAGAGGAAACTTTCAAAAACGCGAAGTAGGTCATCTCATGGCCCTCTTTAGCCTCTTCCTGGCTTCCTGCTGCTCAGATTAAAGTCAGACTCTGCCCTGGGCCTCGAGGCCCTGCAGGACGGAGGCGGGTCCACCCGAGCTGCTCCGACCCACAGGACAGCACCCTGCGTTCACCACTGCCCTCCCCGTACTTCCTACTTCTGAGCCTTTGCACTCGCTGTTCCCGCTGCCTGGAATGGTGTGTCACACATGTCTGCTCCCCATCACCACTGTCCCCCTGTCACTTTCATACGTCCCCTGCTGGTGACCTCCCAAGCACCGAGCTCCGCCGGCTTGCCGGCCCCACCCTGCCCCTGGTCTGTAAGCCGCACGGGGGCGGAGACCTTGTCTGTCTTGTGGAAGCTGCACCTGCAGCCCCTTGTCCACTGCCCAGCAGAGATGGTTAAAGGCCACCTGTGGAATTACAGAGCCTGGAGGGTTCTGAAACGGTGGCCTGGGCAAGGAGCCCCGTAACCTGTGAAGGTCTGGGGTTCAGCCTGAAAACTTGCATTTCTAACAAGCTCCTGTTGCTGCCGGTGCCTTGGACCCAGCTTCCATACTCGGAGAACCACGGCTCTAACAATGGCCCAGTGCTGGATCGTTCTGTGGGCCAAAGCAGAAACCCCTGCCTCAGGTGTCAAGGGAACTCCCAAGGGAATAGTGACCGGTGGTGAGCAGCTCCTGAGCGTCAGGGCAAGAGGGTCTGGGTGTCTCCCCGCAGGAAGACAGCCACACCCCTGATGCCTGCAAGGTTGGCAGATAAATCCAAAGCCTTGGGAGAGGGAAGTTGAGGTGTGGGCGTGCATGTGTGTGCACAGTGCCTGTCTCAAGGGAAGGGTAGAGAGAGGTCAGGGAAGGCTTCCTGGAGGAGGTGACATAGAGGGCAGCCTTGAGGAAGGAAGGAGAGTTTAGTAGGCATATCTGGGGGTTGGGGGAGCGCAGAGGACAGTCCAGGCAATAGGCACAGGGATGGAAATGGACGGAGGTATGTGAGAACATGGGCAACTCTAGATTGGTATCTAAAAGGAAAGAATCTCTGGGCTATTTGCATGCTTTTCTGGGTTGGGTTTTACCATTCTCTGAAACACTGAAGGCTTCTGGAGAGAGATCTCAGTTATCATTCTTTACATTCATACCAGGAAGAGCGCATAATTTTTGTCCAAATCAGGACACTTTTGAGAGCAGAGGGGGGTGTTGTTAATTACTGGGCTGGAACAGTATGTCTAAAAACTAAACCGTCATGAGCAAATGTCCAGAGGAGGATGAGGACCACTCTGGATCTGGGGTCATTTATGTGGGGAGGGGAGAGGAGGAGTGTGGCTGGGGGACCACTGTGGGCATCTGCCCAGAGGTCAGGAATGGCTGTTTGACCTAAGCAGGTCTCTCTAGGCCTCAGTTTCCTGCTCTGTAAATCTCTGCCTGCCGTGCCTTCCTGCCAGAGCTGTAGGAAGGATTCATCAGGTACATCCTGAAGAGGAAAGATAAACAGGACCTCCCCCACCACCCCACCACCCCTTCCCCTGCAAGCAGAGAGCCTCTGCTAGACTCTGGGCAAGCTCCCAGCATCTTCCTTAAGCCCTCCCCCTCTGCCTGAGCAGCAGCACCCCTCCCCCTGTCTTCCTGACAGCCTCCCCCCAACCCCCACCAACCAGGCCAGCCCCTGGAAGCCCTTGGATCTTTACCCCAGTTTCCTGATTTCATAGATTCAGGGCTAATGGCAAAATGCTTGCTGAGCGTGAAAAGCAGAAAATGTTCAGATTTATTGCTTTGAGATTTTGGGTTGTCTCCTGGGCCTGGTTGATGCAGTTTCCTCCAAGTTTCAGAGCATTTTGTTTAAAAAGAAGGATTTTTGACAGCAGCGCTTTCTAGTTTACAGAGAGCGTTCACATAATAGCAGTAACAATCATTACTATATGTACTGAGTTACTGCTGGGGAACTCAATTAACCCTCGAAATCTCCCTCCCTTTCCACAGCGACAGGCAGAGGCTCAGAGAGGTTAAGGGGCTTGCCCAAGGTCACACAGCCCAGGGAAAGGGCAGGTCCATGGTTTCAGTCAGTCCCTGCTCACCCTCTCCTGTTCTGCCTTTCTGATTTGTCCGCAGATTTGCAGACATACAGTGGGTGAGAACAAAACAAAACAAAACAAAACAAAAACCAGAGGCTGTTGTTGAAAACAGAGACTGGAATGAGTTTAACCAGGTACGTCCAAGGGACCCCTCGCCCCCCCAAACAATATATTTTGTGCTAAGATTAGTTTTGTAATGATGCAGGTGGTAGAGGGTCCAGTGGGACAGGGAGTCAGTGAGCAGAGGACTGGCTTTCTAGATCCTAGGACTGAACTGTCCAAAATGGCGCCCAGTGACCACCTATGGCTATTTAAATTTAATTAAAATGAAATAAAATTTTAAATTTAGTTCCTCAGTCGTACTTGCCACATTTTAAGTGTTCAATATCCACCTGGGGCTGCCCTATTAGACAGCACAGAGACAGAGTATTTCCATCACCACAGAAAGTTCTCCTAAGCCACCAGCAAGCCAGCTCCTGTCTCATCCAGACTATGCTGGAGGCCGCGGGGAGCCGCTGTTGGAGGTGATAGCTTCCTCTGCTACCAAGTCAGATGACATTCCAACACCTGAGCCCCTCCACTTGGGGGAGGTTACAACTCCATGGATGCAAATAATTTTTTTTAAAGATTTATTTATTTGACAGAGAGACAGAGAGAGAGCACAAGTAAGCTGAGCAGCAGGCAGAGTGGAGAGAGAAGCAGGCTCTCTGCTGAGAGCCCGATGTGGGGCTCGATCACAAGACCCTGGAATCATGACTGGAGCCAAAGGCAGCCGCTAAACCAACTGAGCCACCCAGGTGACCTGCAAATAATTTTTTTTAAAGATTTATTTATTTATTTGAGAGGGAGAGCACGAGCAGGAGGGGCAGAGGGAGAGGATCTCAACCAGACTCCTTGCTGAGCCCAAACCTGACACCGGACTTGATCTCATGACTGTGAGATCAGGACCTGAGCTGAAAACCAGAGTCGGAAGCTTAACCCACTGCGCCACGCAGGGACCCCTCCATGGGAGCAGATGAGCAGAAACCAAAGGAGCAGGCATTAGCGGAGGCCTCGCTACTCAGTGTGGTCTGAGGCCCGGCAGCATCTCCATCTCCTGGGAGCTTGTTAGAAACTCAGGAGCCTGGGCTCCGTGCCTGACCTGCTGAATATGAATCTGCATTTTAACAAGATCCCCAGGTGATTCAGGTGCACGTTCAAGTTTGAGAAGCTCTGTCTTAAGAGACAGGAGAAGCAGGATCAAAATATTGTTCCAAATATAGGGAACCAAACATATTTTTAGATACTAAAAAATAGCATTAGCACCCCCATTAGCGTGTGATTGAGCTTTAGTCACAGAGGGCTGAGTGTCTGTGCGCCACATAATCAAGTAGCAGAGCCCCCGTGCGGGAGCTGGGAGGAGCTGGCCCTTCCCTGTCTCCAGCAAGTTGGCGAAACTTGAAGTCCCCTCCCCAAAGCAAAGGAGGCCGAGGTGAGATTCACATCGTGGGTCTCAAGGATGCTGCCTTTAAACCAGATTTTCTGCTTTTGCTTTTCTTCCCAGTGCACTCGGATTTGAACTTTGCCGATTGCCAAGGACACAACGTGATGCACAAAACATCTTCACAAACACAGGGGATTAAAAGGAAGCATCTGGAGAAGGGTTCTGTCCAGCTTCTCAGGAGTATAGCGCTCCCGGGCCTCAGTGCCGGGAGCCAGCTGCTAATCAAGCTTTCTGGGCAGGAACCAGCCTCCCGCCCCTCTGTGAAGAAAACAGGTGCAAAAGGTGGTTTCCTCCAACGAGACTCCAAAAGAGACTGGCAGCACGCTGACCCTTGGCGGGGGAAGAAGGGTCCGCCGCCAGCACTGGTTCCAGAACCAGGATTCCGATTCTGTGGCTCCTCCTTCCATGAAGATGACTCATCCCTTCATTTCTCTCTCCGCTCAGCCTACCTTGGGCCTTACTTATTTTTATCCCTGGAATGAAGTTGCCAAAAGGATGCTATTTCTCCACCTGCAAGGGCCCTCCTGGAGGATGAATTTTTAAATATTCATTTTTACAACTTGCCCCCAGCGATAATGCAGAAGACAGAAGGCTGGTGACAGGGGGGGGGGGGGGGGTAACCATACAGCAATATGGGCCCAGCGGGGGAGCCCGGGGCCTTGGGGGAACTGCCGAGGGGCTTTGCAATGGAGAGACATTCCAGGAGCGGATTCTGAGGTGCAGAACCAGAGGCGAAGGAAGAATGGTCAAGGATGCTTTCATAACTCTCTTTAAAATACTGAAAAGAATCAAAGCAGAACCTGCGAATAGTCTTGCTGTTTTGCCTTCACAAAAGGCAAAATGAAGTGCGTGGCTTCATTATCTTGGTAGCAAACTTCCTTTTCTGCTCCCGGGAACAGCCCGTGGGGCATTGCATGGGGTCCCAGTGGGTCCCTCATTCAGGATGCCCCACGGCTGCCAGCTGGGAGCACGTGACTCACGCTGGGCCAATGGGAAGCCCGCTTCTTTGAAGGGCGGCAGTAGGATCTGGAAATGTTTGAATTCACCTGTCCTGATGGGGGGGTACTGGGGAGACTGCCCCCTTGGTTCTTCCTGCTTGGATTCCTGGCCACGTCCTCTTCCTAGTCCTTCTTGTGGTCCGACTGTTCACTCTCCTGAGATCCCATGAGTCACCGCAAAGCATTTCAATATGTTCTTTTTTTTTTCCCCTTCCTTCCTTCCTCCCTTCCTTCTCTCCCTCCCACCTCCCTCCCCCTTTTTTTTTTTTTTGCGTAAGTTAGACAGTGTTGTTTTCTATTATTTGTAACTGAGAGCCCCAACTGTCACAAACCCAAATGCCCAGAAATAGGGGCTTAGATCCAGAACGCATGATACAGAACACGATGGAACATTCCACAGCCAGGAACAGTGATAAAGGTGTATTTGTTGACCTGGAAAGGTCTTCACAAAATATAGTTGAGAGCAAAAGCAGATTACAGTAGAACAGTATGCACAGTAAGGTGCCATGTTGCAAAATATATTCTGTACATTCATAGAAAAAGATCTAGAAGAAAATATAACAGTATTCATTCTGGAGGGTAGAATGGTGGATGGTTTTCTTTCTGCTTAGCATAAAGATATTCCTCACCTTTTCCACAATGCTTGTACAGTGGGTTTTTCTGTTTTGCTTTTGTTTTTTGTGTGTGTCTTTTTGTTTGTTTATTTGTTTTAATGGACACAGGCAGGTCTCCAGAGCCTGTCAAAAGTGAAGTGACTTCCTGCGTTCAGGCAGGGACTTACTCACCAAACACCAGGTTTCCTGCCACGGGGATGGCTCCCTCATAATTCTGACTGCTTAAGAAGATTCTGGAAGCATCTGTGTCTCCAGAACAAGGAAGAAGGCCTTCCCACATGGCCAGGGCGCCAGTGGTTCCCACTTATTCTCACAGCAACCTTGGAATGTGGGAGGTTCCTCCCTCTGTTTGATGGAAGAATGGCCTGAGAGGTGAGGTGACCTATCCAGGGTCCCACTGTGTGGACGTAAAGCCAGGTCACTTGGCCTAGGGCTTCAATACCCCAGGGGCTACTCAAGTTTATAATGGCCAAAATGAAGCAGCTGAGCGTGGGGGAGGGTTCAGAATGCCCCTGTGTGGTCAGCTGTGAGACAACCTGCCTCAACTCCTTGTTCTGCACATGGCCTCAAGGTGTTGGGCTTCTGGGTGGGTGGGGGGAGCAGGTAATGTCACTGGGGAGAGTGGGTTTGTGGGATACTCCTCCCGCTGCTCGTTCTTATCTTCCAGGTCTCAGCTTGAAAGTCAACTGCTCCGAGAGGCTCTCCTTGCTGCCCTAAGATGATCCCTGGCCACAGATGCCTCGGCCCCACATCTCCTCTGTAGCAGTTCACGTGACTCGCAGTCATGTTGCTTATCTGTCCGTCTACTTTATGGGCCATCTTCCCCCTGCTTGGCTGTATGCTCCCTGAGGCCAGGGTTTACAACTGTTTCACTCCCGGCTGTGTCCCTAGCAGCTAGCCCAGTATCTGGTCTCCTACGGGCACTCACCACGTGTCTCCTGAATGAGAACTGATGGACACACAACGGGGGTCCTGAGCACACTGTAGGGACTGGGCTCCCCCCTGCCTCTACCAGCTGATGACCTCAGGCAAGCTGCTGGCCCTCTCTGGGCCTCTTCCAAGCCTTAAGTATAAACATCCAACTCCATTTAAAGGATTGGCTTCAACCTTCCTGAATTTTTAAGACAAATTTAAGGGAAGGCATTAGAAGTTGGAGTCGTGACTAAATTGTATGTCAAATCAACTGCTGGTTGATTATTTTTCTGGGTGATAACATTGCTGTGGTTTTCCCAGGAGTCACTGGTGTGCAATGAACCCAGTTGTATTTCTTATTCAATAAACTCTTTTATTGTAAGTTTACAGGTTTTCCCATTACAATAATGAAAATAGCACTAGTGATTCGTTAACACTGAGGCCCAAATAAAAAGGGAACGCCCCCTCAAATTATAAGGTAAATGCCACGTAGTTGAACGTATAGTAAATGTTCGGCAGAAGGCATTTAAGATCTAGAAAATGGGGTCAAGGTCTGTGTGCAAACACTTTAAGGTTTAGTTTCTCAAGATGCTGCTGCTTTGGAAAGCCCATGATTCTGAAACTGTATTTGTAATTTGTGATAAAACACAACTGCAGAGAAAAGGCAAAATCAAGCAAAATAAACAAACAAACAAAAAAACCCTTCCCCAAATGAGAGGAAGTGAATCAAAGGCATGGGGACAATATGCAAACCTCCATTCACTGGGCCCTACAATGGCAAGTGAGTGGGTTTCATAGAAATTCTCCGTAGAAAGGAAAGTCTGGGCCTGGGGGGACATCACTGCGTCTCCAAGTCCTGTCTCCTCACAGAGGAAAAGAAGTTTCTTGTCCGACACATCTGCCCTGGGTCTGCCAGGAATGGGGCCTATGTTCCCAATCCCTTTGAGAACAGTCCCAAATCCTGAAAAGGCAAGGCAGCCCTCCGGGGCCCCGGGTGCGGCAGGGAGACGGGTCAGAGTCGGCCCCCAGCCCTGCTGGAGCTGTCCGAGTGATTCACGGGGAGGGGGTGGGCCTCTGTGTTGAACACCCAGTCTTCCAGGGAGAGCATGTCATCTTCAGAGAACAGAAGATAGAGATACCTGTGCCCCCGGGGTAGGGAGGGAAGCAAGACAAGCTGGTGAGGGCCCTGGGGAACAGGGGACCAATGGCAGCCAGTCTCAGAGGCTTCTGCAACACGGGCCTGTGGCTAAGGGTGCAGGGAGGTTTGAGATCCAGGGTCTACCTGCCGCACTGGTCCCAGGGAAGGTGCTGTGGATGCTGAGGAGAGCACTGAGATCTGGGGCAGTCAGACCTGGTTTAACTCTGGCTCTGCCCCTGGCCTTCCTCTGTTACGTCGTACCCATCTGCCTTCACTCAGGTACTTGCGCCCCCTGTAGGAGAGGCCGGCCAGGTCCCCTTATGGCTTAGATTCTTCTTTCTTTTCATGGTGGCCTGAGTACTGCACCAGTCCAAACTCTTGAGCAGCTCCCTGATGTGCCCCCCAGGAGACTCTAGACTAAAGCGGATGTTAGGACTCTAAAATGAATAGGGAGTTGTGACTCCAGAACTCCAGCTCCCTAAGCCAAGGGAATGGACTATTCCAATCCATTGCAAAGGGTAAAACACAAGGTTTGGGAAACAGCAAGGAAACGGGGTGGCTGACTTCTACCCCCAGAAAGTGAGGGAACAGTGCAGGAGCAAAGCTGTAGAGGGAGGGTCAACAGCAGTGACCACTGTTGCTATCATTCCTCCCATTTTACAGAAGAGGACATGGTTTCAGAGATCCAAGGGACCCAAGGAGACAGGTTACAGAAACTAAGCACACCGCTAGTACTTGGAGTTGGGGTGCTGTCTGGTCTCTCTCTGAGGAGAGAAACCCACCTGGCCTGAGGGGCATCCTGGGTACCCCAGGCCCCCTAGCTGTGGGCCCCCCTGTGATGGCAGAACTTGTTGCTGAAGGGAGGGACTGCTGACCCCTCCTCCTCTCTCCATCCCTAAGAAAGTCCCAGTTTCCCTCTGGAAAGAACACCAGCCAAACCCCAACTCACTTTAGTGTCTCCGCTAGAAAGAAAGTCTGCTGCTTGTTGTCGTGGTTTGGGATACTGCTGTACACGTCTTGGATCCCGGAGAAACCAGCTTCCGTCCGACAGTATTTCTCCAAGGCCTGAAGGAAAGGGAGGCAGCTTTGGTGCAGGGAGAGGAGAGGCCCCCCGCGCAAGATTCGTGCCTGCCCAGGTCGTGAACAGGCAGACCCCGGACCACTCTGCTGGGGACCCCTGGCATTTGTGGAAGCAGAAAGCCAAATTATTGTTCAAGGGCTCAGCCGCCCTGCCACTGGGGCTGAGAGCTTAGTCCCAGCTGGCTGCCAGCTCGAGCTCTTCTCCTGGTCTGAACTCAGAGGACATTCTTTTGGCCCTGCAGGGAACCAGGCTGAGCCGACAGACTCACCCACAGCGGTGGACAGAGGAAGGCAGCGGAAGGCTGGGACTTGGGGACTGGACTTAGCACACCCCACGGATTCCCTGTGGAGATTCGGTCCCTCGTCCAGAGGTGGGAGGCCCCCGACTGTCTGCTCTTGTATATAAATGCCATTTTTACACACTGAGGGCCCAGGAGCACAGAACACTTACTTGGTTTTCACTGGTCGAGAAAGGGGCCTTCGGGGAAGCAGGGAGATTCTGAACCACATAGGTGAACCTCGGCCCTCCCCAAGTATAATGTCCTGGGTGTGGCTCTCCCCAGGACAGTCTATGCCTCTGAGAGCAGGGGGCCCTAGGGAAAGTTGGGAAGGGGCTGGACAGAGAAGACTTAGCAACCCTCAAGACCCATCTTTCTGGACTTTCCATACTTGCCTTTGACACCCGTTCCCTGCTGGGTGGTTGGGGACAAGTGAGCTAGTAGTGGGGAACAGAGCCCAGAGACAGGTGGGGGCCGCCCAGGGCACAGCTGGCTTTGGGCAGAGGAGGGAGGTGATCTGTCGGTCTGGTACCCTATTCCTGTTTGAGAGGAGAAATCTGAAACCATCTCAGGCTTCAGGGTCAGAGGGCAGTGACCACATGTGCTCTGTGTCCCTCTGGCTCCCGCCCTGCCTTTAGCCCTCTAAGTTTGCTGGCCCTGAAGCCTGGGCCCCAAAGGCTGTGGGCGCCCAGAACCCTCTCCATAATTTCCCGGCCCACTTTTGCCCAGCCGGGGACTCTTGGCTCTGCGACTACACCTCGACCCTTTGCATTCGGAACCTGAGCCAGATGTCAACCTGGTGTGACCTTCTTCTCTGTGCCTGAGCTCAGGGGATTTTGGACCCTGCCTGAATTCCTGGGGCACCTGTCACGCAGTCGGCCCCCCATCCTCCCACCCAGCGCACTCACCAGCACCACCTCCCAGCCCCACTCCCTGTAGATGGGGTCGTGGGTCTGTCGCCACAGGTACATGTAGCTCTCCACCACCTCGGGCCGCAGGATGTAGTAGCTCTCGCTCAGCTGCGTGGCCACGGCCTCCCTGCCCGAGTTAAACCAGAAGGCCTCGGGCCCCAGTTTGGTATCTGCGGGGAGGACCAAGCAGAGGACCTGGGTCAGACCTCCCAGCTCCTGCTTTTCAGGACCCAGCTGCCCCAGGAGTGCTCTCAGTGGCCTGGAAGCCCTGGCAGGTTGACTGGCCCAGGCCGAGCCCTTGCCTGCACTGCCGAGCCTGGCAATGCCCAGCTTCCCTCTTGGCCTAGGCAGACCAAAGCAAGACCCTTGAGGCCTCGAACATTGTGTAGTTTTAGAATCTGAGAGTCCAAATGAACTATCCAGTAATCTGTGGAGAGAAAGGTTTGGGAGATGTTCCCCAACTTGTGTTTTGAGACATAAAGTCTGAAAGATGTTAACCAGCCAGGAAAGGATCTCAGATTTAAGGACATTTGGGGAACAGAAGGTCAATGAAGTGAAACAGTCTCCTGTCTACGGGACTTAGCAGGTCCTTTAACCTGCTGATCTGCGGTGCTGCTTCTCCACAGAGAAAGACCCCTTTCTCAGGGAAATGCTTTTCCCACCTCCCAGAAGGAGCCTTCCAGAGGCGACAGGCTGGGACGATGCTGAGGTGAGACAGGGGAAGAACTGCCCAGAAGGCACATACTCAGGCAGAGGCAGCTACATAAAGAGGGCTTAAAGAGGTCTGAGATGTTTTGTTTTGTGTTAAGATTATTTATTTATTTGAGAGAGAAAGCATGTATGAGAAAGAGAGGCAGAGGAAGCAGGAGGGAGAGAGAGAGAGAGAAAGACAAAGAGCAGAGCCGGGGGAGGGGCAGAGGGGGAAGCAGGCTCCCGGCTGAGCTGGGAGCCCAATAATGTGGGGCTGATCCCAGGACCAACCCACTGAGCCATGCAGGCAGCCCTCAGTTTTTTGTGGGTTTTTTTGGTCACTGGTTTGTTTTTGGACAATTTGGTGCCTATTTGCTGGACGGCCATAATTATAACCACCACAGCCACCACTGATTTCAAGGGCTGTGCTGGGTGCTTTAGGTGCATTATTTTGATCCTTAACAAATGTTGTTTTTGTTTTCTTCTTCTTTTGTTTTTTTCTAAGGTAGATATTAGTGTCTCTTTTGCTATCAGGCATATGGAAACTGAGGATCAGAGAGGCTAAGTAATTTGTCCAAGGTAACACAGCGAGCTGTGACTGAGCTGGAATGTGACACTGGATCTGTCTGATGCCCTTTCCCTGGACTGTGCTCTTGTTCTTTCCCTCCTGGGTCTGAGACTCTAGGCCCCAAGTTTAGGCGAGAGGGGTCAGCTTCTCCTCCCTTCAGCACCTGCACACCCTGAGTCGGTCAAGTGCCAGGCTCTGGTCCTAAGTGTGCCTTCCTTCTTCCCATCAGGTCAGGACCCCGAGAAGCCCCAGGTTGTTCTTAGATGACGAGAGCCTCGAAGGACATCCTACTCTTCCATGGAGGGCTTCACAGAAGGGCTGTGCCATTAGCTGGACCGCGGCCTCGTCGAGTTCTCAGATGCTTGCTGCTGCTCCTGGCCGCTAGCAAAGAGCCATTTCGCCCAAGCTGCGGACGGGGTCGGGGCACAAGCGCCCACCGTGGCTGTCCGTGGACAGGCAGGCTGGCTGGCACAGCAAGCTCTCTTACGTGGATGTCTTTTATGGTCTGGGTTGATTGTCCCAGACAAATTGTGAGCTTTTTATTATTCCTGAGAATTCCTTTTTGTTTACGGTTCTGGGTCTTTGAAGGGAACTGCGGACCCGTTGTGAGAAACCCCTTGTGAATTGCAGGCTTCGTGTAACCAGCTCCGGGAGCTCTACATTCCACTGGAGGGTCGCAGATGCCTTTCAAGGCCTTTCAAGCTAAAACATGCCTTCCATGCTGGGGCTAAAGGCGGCCGGAGATGTGCTTTCTATGGGACCCTCTATCTCATCCCGGGAGACGTGTGTTATTGCTCCCGTTGAACAGATGAGAAAATGGAGGCCACCCCGCTGGTGAGTGGCAGAGTGGCACCTGAGCCAGGTTTATGGGAAGTCTTGGGTCCTCTCCTCTAACCAAGACTGGGATTACACCCAGAGCAGTGGGCACCTCTTGGGGCCCCCGGGGGAGGGCTTTTTCTGAAGGGCACGGTCTACAGAGGCAGCACACAAGAAGAAGCTGGGCATCAGAAGACCTCAGATGACATCAGAAGCTACTTGCGCACCGTGTGACTTTGGCGAAGTCACTTCCCTGCTCTGGGATGACTCAGTTTCCCCACGTGTAAGACAAGGCTCGTGTTCTCTAATGTGCCTTCTCACTCTAGCGTTTGACAATTCTGCAATGAGTGTTAGGTGGGGAAGGTCAAGAGGCTCTCGAGCCTTCTGGTGATCTTGATTCAAAGAGGGTGATACACGGGGTGGTGCTAGAGGTGGTAAGACCCCCCAAAATGGAGGGATGCCGGGGAGGAAAGGCAGAGAGACACTCAGGGGTAAGGGCCCAGGGAGAAGGGATCTACTAGGCTCAGGAAGCCTGGAGGACCCTTCACTCTGTGCCCCTTACACCGGACCTCGGCCAAGTTCTCTCTGGGCCTCAGTTTATCTGTGTTGTGAGGTTCAGCAATGGTGCAGGTCAAATGCTGAACAACACTGGGCACAGGTGCTTGATACATCACCCCTATTTTCCTTTTCACTCAGGTTACAGTCTCAGTGCATCGACAGCACACCCCTTGTACAAATTCTCCAAAATTTCCAAGGCAAGACTGCCCTAAGACCGTGTGTTCTAGTCACTCACTGCCGCTCTACTGGTTTTTCTAGTTCTTCCTGGTGTCTAGCCTCAGTCTCTCCTCCGCCCCTTCCCCTTGCAGGGTTACCTGAGCGGGCGTACGATTCGTGGCACGTCTTGGTGATCTGGGCTGCAAGCTCTCGGTAGTGGGCCCTCTTTTCTTCCTTGGCATCCTCAGCGCCGAGGGCGATCATGCCCCCAGAGAAACAGGCCAGGTGCCCCATCTTGTGGTCCAGAATCCCCCCTCGCCACTCAGCAATGTAGGTCAGCCCCCCAGGAGAGACATTCACCAAGTAGGTCTCTATTGCCTGGGAGCAAGGTGGGAGTTGGACAAGGGGGAGGGGTATAGGAGGGGGGACAGAGAAGGGAGGGGGAGAGGACGGAAAAATGAACATTTTGCAGACAGCAGTGAACGCAGCTCTGCTGAGCCCTCCATCCCAGGCAAAGGAGGTCCTTGACCTTGGCTGGCAGCTGGCGGTGGTCCCTGATGGAGCCGTAGGAGGTTCTGCCACTCGCCTGGCTGAGGCCTGGTGCCTGCTGGGGTCTTGGACACAAGGCAGCTCCCCGGACTGAGTCTCTTATTTAGACTTTTAAACAAATATTTTATTTTTAAATAATTTCTACACCCAGTGTGGGGCTCAAAATCACAACCCTGAGATCAAGAGTTACATTCTCTACCAACTGAGCCAGCCAGGTGCCCCTCTTATTTAAGCTTTTATATCTTCTATGTATAAATATTTTTTTTAAATCTTTAAAAATTTTTATCCATTCTCCACGATGTCCTCTGTTAGGGAATCTTAACCTGGAGCCCAGCTTGCCTGTGGACAGGCTCCAGGGGGTCCAGAGGCCACTCAAATTGTATGTGACACTCTCGTGTATGTGCATTTCCCTGGGAAGAGGGTCCCTATATTTTATCTGGTTTTTGAAAAGGACCCATGGAAAGTTAAGAGCTGCTCTCTACAGGCCCTTATCACACACCTTCTCATTTGATGCCCACGACAACCCTGGCACATGGCTGTCATGCCCTCTACAGACAAAAGGATCAAGTGGCTTATCCCAGGTCACCCAGCCATGCGAGGACAAGGGCCCCCAGATGCCCAAACTGGGCATTTTCTACTACCTGACGGCTGCTCCTTCTGGTAGCAAGGGGCTTTGAGGGCCCCCATCCCCAACTTCCACAGGAGATGATACGGCTGGTAAAGACTCTAAGGAAGTTGGGGGATGCGGTGTCAGGCCAGGGTGCCCCCCATTCCCTGCTGTTAGTCCCTGGAAGCCTGGAGACAGAGGTGATGGCAGTGCCTGTGGCTCTGGGTCCGGGCCGGGCTGCTGGGACCCTGGCCAGGCCTCTTCATGCATTCCTGCCCCTTCCAATCTATTCTCCAGGGGTCTCTGCTCTCTGTAAATAACGGACTAGTTTAACCTGATGCCACAGACATGGCTCCCAGGAGCCGATTCCTCAGGTTCAAATCCTACTTCTGTCAGTTCCAAGCTGTGTGACATTGGTGGGTTCTGTGGGCGCTCTGGGCCTTGATTAACAAGTAAATGTATGAAAGGGGAACAGGACATAAACCACCTCACACGGTTGTGAGGATCAAATGCGCTTTGCGTGCAGAGCTCAGCATACTTGCTCACACTGTGTCCTCAGCACCTGCTGGCTCGGACAGTGCCTCTCCAGTCCATCCCCTGCCCCAGCCTCTTCGAAGTCACATCCCTCTCCTCCCACTGAGTTTTCCATGAGCCGAGGCTCAGGGCAGGGGATGAAGCCCCTGAAAACATGCAGCCTGGACCCTGACTCGGGGAGTTCACCTGTTAGGAGATTCCCAACAAAATCAAACACACAGGGGAATTACGATTTGTGGTCAGCATTTTGAAAGAAACATGCTCCGCCTCGACTCCACGGCCCCAGCTTGCCTTTGCGCATGCGCCACACATCCTGGCCATGCCGCGGTGCTCGCTTCCCATTCCCTTTCCACGCGATGCTCTCCCCACCTTGTGCATCCCTCCGTGCATGGTCTGTGGCAACCCTGTCTCTCTCCCAGGACTCTGCTGCCTGACGGCAGAAGCCATCACTACCCCCACTCTCCAGCCAGGAGCAGGCATACAGTAAGTCCTCAAGCAACATTCGCTCCTGGATCTGTTCCATTCCCCCTCCTGCAAGGTCCCACATGCTGGGCTGGCTCTAGGACCTTCACTGGGTAGCAGGTGGGGAAGCTCTGATGATGTGCGTGGCAGACCACCTGTGCCATGGGGGACGGAAGACTGAAGGGGCCTAGGGAGCCGCCCACTCTCGGGCTGGGTCTGCTCTTGGGCAGAGCGTGGTCCGCACGGGTGGGGAGGAGGGGTGGCAGGCTAGTCCAGGGTGCAGAAATCTGGTCCAGCCACCCGTTGTGGACGCTTGGGGGAAAACACAGACATCTCAGGGAGATGTCTCCCCTGGTGGCGCAGAGAATGTCCCTTCAAGACTGGATCTCATGGGTTACTTCCATTTGGGGTTCACCCCAAGCTAAGTAATCATGGTAAAGAGGAAATGACAGACCAGTCTCATTGTGAGGACACAACTGAGACAAGCAGATAGGTGTAAAGATGAAAAAAAAAATTGAAAAAACAAAAAAACACACACCAAGGCTTTCTAAAACTCTAAGCAAAACACAAGACAGCACAGGCTGGCAACTGACCAGTTAGGCTTAAATCATCCAGGAGACCAGCCGAGCTGAGGGGGAAGAGAGACCTGGGCTTGGATGCCAGCTCTGCAATGTGAGGGTTGGGTGACTCTGCGCAAATGATTTCCCTTTTTTGAAGACTCCCTCTCCTAATCCGTAACAAGGGAATAATTCCTGGGATGGCTGTGAGGTTATTCAAAGACTCTGCCTTCCTTTGCCTCCTGGAGGGGACCCCATCTGCCTCACTCCCAAGAGGGGTTTCAGGCAAGCCAGGCTCCTTTGTGGTTGGCAGGAGCACTGGATCTGGAGTCAGTCGGATCTGTGTTTGCACCCTGGCTTTGACACTGGCTGCCGTGGGACCTCAGTTTCTCATCTGTAAGATGGGGCTAACTAAATAAGACAAGGTAGTCAAGGCACCTGCCTGGAGGAGGCCACCGCGACAGATGCTCTCCCTATTCTTGTTGCCCCTCCTCCTCTGACACTCAGGGGTGTGCCCTGTTGGCCTGTCTGAATCGTCCCCAACTCACCCCAGCTGGACAGTGGTCTCACCCCACCTCAGGGTAGCTTTCCAGGCTGTTTCCTGGGCCCGGGCCCAGACATTCTGATGTAGCCTTGTCAGGGTGCAGCCTGAACACTGGGATTTTACAGCTTCCCCAGTGATTTTTAATGTGTGGACAAGGTTGAGAATTACTAGAATATTCTTCAAAGTCCCAAACCTGCCAGAGGCCCAGTCTTTACCCAGGGTCAGAGATACTCCAGGCTATTCACTGGGGATATCAAACAAGGGGAGCAAAGCCAAGGTTCTCTCCTCTTCAATCAAGTGCTTTCCATAAAACTCCCAGTTTGCTTGAATAATTCATGGCCATTTCTTCCCTTGAAGCCTCAACCACTGTGTGCCCTGAGGGCAGGGAACCAGGCTGCTTGCTAACTTCATGTTTACCCTGCAAGGAATGGTGGAAAGCGCAGACAGGCCTTTGCCAGCAGCACACTCTGTGCAGGCTGAACACTGATCCCCTGACAGCAGACACTGGCTGTGGTCTGAGCTCAGCTGAAGCTTAAGCTGGGGCTGAGATGCAGACGGAGATGGGACTGGAGCCCCAGCAGCCGCTTCATGACCAAGGTCTTGGTGCTGGGGAGCTGGGTGGGGAAAACTCATCACCAAGCCTACAGTTTAAAAAGTCCATGGCTGTGGAGGCTTGTTTCAATGGGTTTCCTTTAAGCACTACCATTCCTGGCCAGATTCATGCAGTCAGAGGATAGTTATAGCTCATTCATCCATCTATCCAACTGTTCATACCCATCCATCCACCATATCCACCCATGTATCCATCTTTCCACCTGCCTATCCACCTATCCATCCATCTATCCTCTACCAACCCACCCATCTGTCCTTCCACCCACATATCCACCCACCCATCCATCCATCCACCCATCAATCCTTCCACCCACAGATCCATCCATCCACCCATCTACCCTTCCATCTGCCCATCCATCCACCCACCCACCCATCAATCTTTCCACCCACGGATCCATCCATCCACCCATCTACCCTTCCACCTGCCCATCCATCCACCCACCCATCCATCCATCCAACCATCCACCCATCCATCCATTTATCCACCCATCCATTCTTCTACCTACCCATCCATCCACCCATCAATCCTTCCACCCACGGATCCATCCATCCATGCATCCCTTCAGCAATCATGTATTCATTTGCTCACATGGTTATTGTACACTTCCTATGCACAGGTACTATTGTAGGAGTGAGGCAGACACGGTGAGTGACTAGATGAGATCCTTGCTCCTAGAGAGCTCACATTCTACTTGGGGAAGACAGACAATGAACAAGTAAGCAAACATGCGCTCGGAGTAATTTTCGATGTTGATGAAGGTGAAGAAAAGCCTAAGTCTGGTGTATGTGACAGAGAGAGGCTGTGAAAGGCCAGTTTCCAGGGGCATTTGACTTGACCAATAAATGGGGCCCAGCCATTTGAATGCTATTCCAGGTAGAGAGGACAGGAGATACAAAAGCTGCGAAGTGGGAATGAGTCTGGTGTGTCTGAGGAAGGCGGGGGACCAGAGCTGAGAGTAAAGGGGGAAAGAGTTCAGGGTGATTGGTAGGTCTAGATCACGTGGGCAAAGGTGAGGAGTCTAGCTTCTTCCAAATGCAGAAGGGGAGCCAGTGAGGTATGGACATGAATTTCTAGTTCTTCTGGCTGCTTTGTAGAGGGAGAATGGACTTCAATGGGGAGGGGATCAAGAAGACTAGTTTAGGGGACATGACACCTCAGACCAAGGTGGTGGCAGATAGAGCCAAGTTGCTCAACTTACTTTGTGGGGAAACTGAGGCCTGGAACCTACCCAGTGCCTTTTCCTTAGTTGGGCTCCGAAGTACCTACTGATGGGTTAATGGGATTCCATAACACCTTTCCAATAGCTCAGGCTAACCACCTTCCTCTTCTATCCTAATTCTCCCTCTCTTTGGAGAGACTCATCTCAGCCTACCACGCCTTGTTCAGTTCACACCCTGTAGACAGACCAGTGGTGGGGAGAGACAGTTGAGGGGATATTGGGAATGTCTTAGAAGATCGGGCTTTAGCTTCAGCTCTGCCAGCTCTGTACTGTGTGGCTTTGAGCAAGTGCCTTTCCCTCTCTGGGCCTTGTTTTCCATCCCCATAAAGAGAAGGAGCAGAATTGGACGATCTACTGGAGGAGGCCCTTCCCTGCTTACATAGGCTAATTACAGCCCCTCGGGCTCTGCAGGGAAATGGCTGAGGGTCTTGCTTTGGCAGCCTCATTTGGGGGCTCCCCGGCCAGTGTCTGGCTGTGTTCTGGGTTCTAACACATTCATGGAAGCCCAGACACCATGATTTCTGAATCAGACTAACTGCCGCTCCCTGTAAGACCTCGGACAAATGGCTTTACCGCCTCGAGTGTGGGTTTTGTGTCTGTAAAACGAGGATGCTAACGTGGCCCTAATTTCAAGGCATCTGAGTAGTCACAGCTGGCTGTGCAAAGCACAGGGCGGGGAGGGAGAAGATCTTGTTCTTCTGGCCAGCTCGCCATGGGGGAGGGGTGGGTGAGGCCCTGACACTCAGGGGTCAGGGCCAGAGCTAGGGTGAATGGCCAGCTGCCCACGAAGGAGCAGGCGCCCCTCTTACCTCCAAGGCTTCATAGTACATATCTTTAGCCTCCACATCTGTCTTGGCTGACATCAACCAGGATTTGATCAAATATTCATAAAAACTGTCCCCGAGGCCTCCAACCGAGACGTGGTCTGTGAGGAGAGAGAGGACGGCTTGTTACCTCCAACTGCTGAGGCTGCTGGGCCGGCCTCCCGGAGGGAATGCACCGGGGCAGCAAGTATCCCCCCACCCCGTCCCCTGGGGGCCACATGCAGGTGGGGCAGCCTCTGAGCCCTATGGGAGCAGGGGCAGACAGGAAGCCCCGGGGCGGGACTTGGGGAACCCAGGACCATCCTGAGCACTGCTGTCTGGCACACGAGCGCACGGCTCACCCAGGTGTATAAATCATGTCCTTTTAGCAGGCCAAGGATGGCAGGGCTTCTGGTTATTAACTGTAAATGAGTTGCATTTCTTTAAAAAGATAATCTGGTGGCAGGGAGTTCAGAGATTTTTATTATCCGGTGACAAACATGGTAATTAATGCTGGGCAGGTTCATAAAAGGCCACGGAAAGGAGGAACGGGAGGCTTAATTGAGTCAGAATATGGAGCCACTTGGAGAAACCAAGCTTCTGCTGAGCAGACTAGGAGAAATGGAGTTTCCAAGGAGCAGGGGCTTGGGGAGAATTGGGTCTGAGGAGCCCATCTTTGCCCTGGGGGCATCTGCCTGGAGTGGCCCCCATGGGGCAGGACTGAGTGACTCCGCCCAGCGCTATCTCTGGAGAAGGATGGTCAACCAGGAGCATTTAACCAGAGAATCGAGACAGGGACAGCACTTCACGCACGTGCTTTAAAAATTAATAACAGGGAAACATAAAGGCATTTAATAGCTATAACAAAGAGCAAACTTCAGCTCCCTGTTAAGATGCACTTAAGCAGAGAGACAGAGAGAGGAAGGAAAATGGGAGCAGAGTAAAGTGGGGTGGGGTCGCTGGCGAGGGTATTTCCAGCTCCTCTGGAGAAAGTGGGGGTAGGAAGAGAGAAAGGAGGGAAAGTCGGTGGAGGGAAGAGAGAAAGGAACAGAGAATCCATCAAAAGCTGTCATTTCTCCAGGGTCTACGTGGGCCCGGAGCCTTACTGTACTATCTGTAACAACCTCCCAAGAACCCGGCAAGGTGGGCATGGCCAACCCCTCTCCCGGAGGGGACAACTTTGGGCAGGCCTGCAGAGCTCCTCTAAGGCCACCAAGGTGGCAGAGCTCTCGCTTTCTGCTACTTTACAGCTAACCAGAGCACGAACGCCTGCTGTTTCTCTGCCTAGAGATAGAAAAGACAAGTGTGAGGAGAGCGGGACCCAAAGTCAGAGGGTAAAGACAGGTGGGGACCAGAAAAGTGGGCTGAGAGGAATACCCAGAGTAAACCAGCCCTTCCAGCTCCTTCCGGCCCCATAAATAAATCATGGCCCAGCAAGGGCTCAGGACCTGTAAAAACTGGAACAGACCAGAGAAATCCTGAGCCTCGGGAAAGTGCAGGAGGGGGTCTGTGGGGGCTGGACCCTGATGTGTGAAGAGATACTCAGCAACACAGCACATCCCCGACCCCCCCATTGCTACACGGTGGACAGAGCACAGAGGAAGGGGCAGGAGCACGCCGGGCCTAGCACGCAGATGCCGCGTCCGCAGCTGGAGCAGGAGGTATGTGCCTGGCAGGGGTTAGGGAAGGCTGCAAGTCAAACCAGGCCGGCCTCTGCTGAGGGGACCCCCCCCCCCCACAGATCACAGACCACAGAAGAGGCACACGGGCCAGCAGCGGCGGTGGGGGGGGGGCTGCCATCTCCACACTCCTTTGGGCCTGCCACCCGTCACTGTTTTCTCTGCCACCCAGAACACTCCTAGCCCCCTGCCTCCCCAGTCATCTCCCACCTGTGGTGACCCCTCTACCAGGAACACCCCTGCCACCCCTTGCATGGCTAGCACCTTCTCACTGCTACACTCCAGCTCAGGCATCCCCTCTGCAGAGAGGCCTTTCTCGGTATTCTCATAAGCCTGCTCATCATCCTTCCCTATTGGGGGCGGGGGGGGACCATGAGGAATGGGTGAGAGAAGGTGCACGCAAATCTGGCCCCACGGTGCCTCACGTGGGAAGCACTCCGTGACAGCCAATCCTTCCATTGCTGGGTGTGTGCCTTGCCCGCGGCGGCTCCCAGAGCTGTGGTGTCCGTGTCTGCTTCTGTGTCTGCCTCCTCCGCCAGGCTGTGGGCTCTCTATGGGGAGGGGGCAAGTATGATTCGCATTTTACACCCGCTGACTGTATGGCACACCGTGGACACCCAGTGAGTCCCGAAGGAAAGAAAGGAAGGGAGGTTTGAGCTGTGCTGGGAAGGGCCTTGAATGCCAAGCCAAAGAGTTGGGACTTCATCATGTGATTGCAGTGTGTCTAGAATGTGGCTGAGGGCTCCACCCGGCGGGTGTGTGCAGGAGAGGGGAGTCAAGCCCCGGGGAATTCTACGGGTGTCTGCAACAGAACACCCTCTTGGGGATATGTGAATGATTCTCATTTGGAGGTCCCACTGCTTTCTGGCTAGTGTGTGCCTGCGGTGTCCTACGCCAGCACCGTGTGGTACATAGAGAGCCCAGAGTGGGAACTGGAAGACAAAGATCTGCCATTAGCTCAGTGCAAGCCATTTTCCTCTCTGGGCCTCCACCTTTTGATCAATAAAATGCAAGAGGAGCATGAACTGGTTGGTGTCCATGAGCCTGAGCAGAGATGGGCCCTGCTGCTTGCTGACCGTGTAGGTCAATACTGTCATCACACTTGGCAGCAAGAGGTGGTCACCATACAGCCTGGGAACGGGGTGGTAGGAAAGTACCAAGAACCCGGGAGAGGATGCCAGGCTGGGGCTGATGGGCAGCTCACATTGCTAACCCCACTGGGGAGAATGTGGACTTGCCACACCCTCCTGCTGAGGAAAGTGGGGATTCAGGCAGCGGACCAGGTAGACAAGCCCCTCCAGGGGTCACGCTGACTGGCCGGCAGCCTTCTGAGCTCTACGTGGCTCTGCGAGGATGGGTCTCATCTGTGCCAGGTACCAGCAGGAGCCTGGTGGACTTACCCTGGCCATGAGTCCTAGTGGCAGGAGGGTCTTGGCCTCCCCCATTACCCTGCAGCTCAGTGTCCAGCAGGAGTGGGGGGCAGCGGGAGCAGGGGCATGGGACCAGGACACACCCCCAACTTCCCCTCCCCAAGCTGCAGCTCCTGTGGTTGCAAATGGGCTAACCAAGGACTCAAGAAGAGGAGAGAAAGTAAACACACTGAACTTACGCAAGTTGGGAATGTTCTCGTCCGTTGGAAAAACACACAATTACCAAAAAATCCCAGTGAAACCACAAAGAACCTGAGATGAGCCTTGTTGCCGGAGCTGGGGGTCGGGGACGAGGCAGGCAGGTGCCCGGAGGAGCAGAACTCTAGCTTTCCCTCTGCCCTTTAGCAGGCCTCAGATTCATGTTTTATTAATATGAAACAATTTTCCATATGTGACCGACTTTGCTCAGCCCTGCGACCCCTGGTGCAGCCTGAAAAGAAAGTTCTTCTTCTCAGCAGGGTGGGGGTGGGGAGGCTCCCTGGAATTTGCCAAGGTAGCTGCTCAAACAGGGAGGTCACGCCCCTCTCCCTCCCGGTGGCTTCTGCTGCGTTGGCTTCTGCTGCGTTTTCCCGGAGCAGCTAAGGCTGGCAGTCGGGTAGTTTATTTCTTTACCCAGTCAGGCCTTGCAATTAAAAACAGTAACAGTTATTGAACTGTCTTCCCATGGCCATAATCTGTAATTCAAACCTTCATTTTCTCCCTGCACTTTTGGATTTGGCGGTGTGTTTTGGTTAAAAATACCTTGTATTTCTGTAAGTGGTTCTTGCAGGAGGCCATTTGGGGGTGAGATCATCACGGGGGAAAAGTCCTTGGGTCACATTTTCTGGGCCTCCTGGACCTGCAGTCACAGAGGCCCAGGGTTGCGAGAATAAGGCCTCCGCAATTTCTCCCCGGTGTCCCTGCAGGCTGGCCTGACCCCCAGGCCCGGCTTGCCTACTTTTACTCACTACCTTTTGGCACAACACATATCATCTTTGGAAGATGAACTGAAATCTGTTTCCTGGAGCTTCTGACCATTACTCCCCCAACCCTCCATGGTGCACAAAAAAGCTATCTCGAGCTCTTCCCCCATTTGCAAGAGAGGAGACCAAGGCTTGCAGTGAGGAAGGGCATTTCCTGGAGCCAGGCAGTCATCAGTCTCCCATGCTTTGCTCCAAGCCCTTGCTGATGTCGTAACAACTAGGGCTGGTGGCAGGGGAGAGGGAGAGGGCTCCTTGTATCAGCAGAAATGATGGAGGTGTTGGGGGGGGTGGGTAGGGCCAAAGGAACCTGCCCCGCCACCAATTCGTGCTGTGACCTCCTGACAGGAGCAATCCCAGGGTCCTGGGAGACTTTTCCACACCCTCCAGCTTGCATGTCCCCGCAAACCCCGTTCTGTTTCTGTGGGTGGAGCTGGGGGCTATCAGTGAGGTCCCCGGGCCCACGCCCACCTGGCTGAGGCACAAGCCACTGAACAGAGAACAGCAGGAATCCCAGGACCCACTCCGGCCCGCGTAAGATACAGCGGTAAGTTCATGATTTTTCTATCACTATATAGTTGGGCTCTGGATTAAAGCTGGAGGTGGGGCAACTGATCCAAGGGGCTGGGAGAGGGCACGTGGTCTTTCCTGGGGCCGCCCCTGGAGTAGAGAGATGGTGCTGTGTGGAATGGCCCCACTAGTCTGGGGGATGACCAAAGAGGCTTCAGCGGCACCCTAAGAGACAGAAGCCTGGAGGCAGCGAGTGTGCAGAGGGCAGGCCTCGTGACGGGGCAGCCACCACACCTGTCACACAGGATGACACAAAACACAACGCCAGTGAAGACCCCCACGGTGGCTGGCATCTAGGAGCATGGAGCAAAGGCCTCGCTGGCCTGGGGCTCTAACAAATGTGTCCCTGCTCACTTGGCCAAGGTGCCTCGCACGGGATCCTGGTGGCAGTGACCGCAAGGCAGGCGGCGGCTTCCCCATACTCACGTTGCATCCAGTTCCCACTCACTGGGCTCAGGAAGTTGGGGTAGAGGCCGAAGGGCTTGTTGATCTTCCTGAGGACCTTTCGGATGTTCCTGACCTGCCAAGAAATGGACAAGAGACACACCCTCACTTTCTGGAAGGATCCGGCAGCGCTCAGCGGTGGCCGCTGAAGGAGGGAGCTTGTTCGGATCCGAAGAGGACACCGCTCAGCCGAGACAGGAGGGGAGCTGCGTGACAACAGCAGGCCACAGCCTGGAGGTGGCGAGATGGCCACGCCCTGGGCCCACGTGTGAGGCACAGCAGGACACGGCCACAGGGGAGCCTGGCCACTGCCTTTGCATTGACCCCTCTGCCTGGGGCCCTGCTAGGCCTCCCACGCTCCCCTCACTTCACCCCTTCCTCACTGTGCATTGCTTTGGGGGATGGGCCTTTTCAGGTGGGGAGTGGGGATGGTTCCTATAAGCGATAGTAGCCCGTTTGTAAGAACTACGGGTAAAACTGCCTTTTAATAGGTCAGAAATGGTCAATACCAGCCATTTCATATGGTTCAACCGAGGAATAAATCATTGTGTCAGACATGATAGGACCATTGCAGAGGAAAGGCCTGGGCTCCTTCACACCCCTGCCCTAACAACAGCTGTGAACATTTCTCAGTCCTTCTGACCCAGACCCATCACCTGCATCACCCTGGAACCTTCGAACAATCCATCTGGTATTATCTCTGTGGAACAAACCCGCATCCTGGAGTTTCAGCGGCCTGCCCATGGTCAGAGTTCGTAAGTGCCAGAGCCAGGACACAAGGCAGGGCTCGGCTGGCCACACGGAGTAGCCCCTGTGCTCGACACGGGTCAGGGCAGGGACCGTGCGGTAACACGCGGCAAAGGCTGCCCGGCTGGAGCAGGAAGAGGCTAGATTTGCAACCTCTGGGGCTACAAAGGGTGAGAAGAGGGAAGGCTTTATCCCTTGGGGTCTGCTCTCTGGCAGGACACATAATCCTTCCGGCACAGAATCCTCGAGAACAGCAAGGCCCTCGGGGACAGTACTGTACCATGCTTGTAGATTTACCTACAAGGCGAGGAGCAGGGAGAGCAGCCTTTCAGCTGTCAGACCTTTCTTTCCAGGGAACGGCGCTTTGCTTTACCACACGAGATTTCATATCCATTTATGTTAACGGAGTCCATTATAGGGGACAAGAATGTGCTTGTACCTGAGTTATTCTCGACTGTCCTGGTGGTGAGCAGTGAAGCAGGCTAAATTAGCTCCCCTGGAGGGTACGGGTGCTTCTAGAATTTGGGCCAATTTGTTGACTGCCAATAATTGCCTCTGTGGGAGGCATGATTGGGGGATGAAAATAGCCAGAGAATATAAATGTAGAGGGAGACAGAGAGACAGGCAGATGGACTTGAGGGGGAAAGCCTGAAGCCTGCTATACTAATCTGGTCTTCAAAGAACGTGGGCTTTGGAGTCAGAAAGTCCTGGGCTTGGATCCTTGTCGCTTACCAGCTGGATGACCAGGACAAGTGACTGGACCTCTCTCAGTTTCCTCCTCTGTAAAATGCGGGTAACAAGAAGACCCACCTCAGGGTCTGGAGGGGTGGACAGAAACACTATAAAGGTACCCAACACATAGCAAGTGCTGGGGCGGTGGTGGCAAGTTTGTCCAGACTAACCAGGGACTAGAGTGAGCTCTCTGTCCCGCTCCAGCGTGAGCCATTCACAACCTTCCCAGTGGAGTCTGACTCAAGAGCAAAGGAAACGGGGAGGCTGGGGGCGGGAAGGCTTGGAGGTAGGAAAATGGATCAGCAAATAAGACCCATCAGGAAGTGGGATGGAACCTCTTTCACGAACTTGAAAGGCGGGGTGTCACAGGGTGCCAGGGTCCTCCCAGTACAGGCTCTGAAGGCAGGTCTGACGTGACAAGCTATTTAAGGGGGGGGGTAGTGAACCCCAACACAGAGGAAGTGATCAAGGGGCTGAAAAGCACTTCTTGAGCTTCCTAAGAATGCTCAGGGAGAGTCCCATACTGAATAAGCAGTGCTCTTAAATCTGGCATCAAAAAGCACATGGGCACTTATTAAAAATGCAGATTCCCAGGCCTAGGTGACGCCCGGAGATGTGTTTCCTCTAGGCTTGCAGGGAGATGTTGGAGGCTGGCTGGTGGACACACGACTGGGAGCCACTGGGTAGAGGTGTGAACCTATGATCTCCCAGCTCCCTTGGCACCCCAAGAGTCTAACCTTCAGAGAAGGGAAGGCTTTGGGAGGGGAGAGGCCTCCAAATGGACATTCCCGGAGGCGGGACTTTAGCTCCTTAGGCAGGACTCAGGGAGGGACAGCTGCTGGTGGAGCCCAAGCGCCCTCTGAGGGTCTGTGTGAACCCTTCCCTTCCTGGGGTTTAGTGTTAGACCCGAGGAGACATTTCTAGACGACGGCGACTGCCATGGGCCGTCACGTGGAGGAACCCCTTCTTCCGGAGGGCTTCACAGATTGGCAGGAGCGGGCAGCTGTCAGGCGGGCTGACAGCCTGGAGGCCAGCTCTCAGCACCCCTTGTGCCCTGAGCCAGCCTGGTAACAAACAGGAAGGGCAGACGTGTGCCTCTGCCGTGGAGTGCAATCGCTTTGCCAGCCTGCTGACAACGTGAGTTAGGCAGGCATCTGGAAGGAGAAGGCGGCAGATCGCACATGAAAAAGTTAACTGTCTCTGGAAAGGGGCCTTCTGCACCCGGTGGCCAATTCCTGCCAACGGGAGCGGGTGCCTGGATTTCAGTTCATGCATTCTCTCCCGATTCCACATGTGCGTGGCTGCCACCGAGCTGACAGCCCCGGTGAGAACCTCGCCGGCAGCCTCATCTCCTCCCTGCCCCGGCAGAACCCTGATGACTCCCTGCACACACCTTCCTGCCATCTGGCTTTGGGCATGCACGCGCAGGGCTCCCGCAGGCAGCAACGGTGGTGACCAGAGGCCCCCCCTTCTGGTTGGGAACCTGCTGAGTGGGGAGAAAAGGGAGGAGCCATTGGGGGTGGGGGAGCAGGGAGAACACTTGCCTTTTCTGCGAAGACCTGGTTGCCAGAGAGCTCGGTCAGGTGTAAGAACTCCAGGTGCAGAGACCCGAACTCAGCCAGGATGCTGCTGCTCCCGGCCATGGCCCAGCCCCAACTCCTATTGGAGCCACTGTGAAAAGACAGAAGCACCCCTGTCAGCCTGCTGCTGCTGGGGCTGGCTCCCCTGCTGAGAGTAATGTGGGGGGGGGTACTGCTCAGTGGGGGGGCACCCGCTCACCAGGCCCTGTCCTGGGAGCTCCCGCCATCTGATCTCCATTACTCCATCCTGGGAGTCAGTACCAGTAACAGCCCCAGTTGCTGATGAAGACATGGATGTCCGTGAAGTGACTTGCTGGAGGGGATCTGAACCTAGCTAGGCCTGTCTACCGGCACTATTCTTTGTTTCCTTTCATCAACCAGCCCCTGGGAGATGTGTGGGCTCTAGGATGGGGCCAGAGCTGCCTTGGTGGCCAAGATCGGGCACCCAAGTTACGCTAAATTTATAAGTGATATGGACAATGCTGTCAGGGACCATAAAGACCCTGCGGGACACTTTCTGTCCTCTGGCTGAAGGCCATCTGGCCGCTACCGTCTGTGACGCTGTAGGGGGGGGTACACTGCCGTGGCTGGGGCCGGGACGGGGGCAGATGAAAAGCAGGGACCCCACCTTCTTCCCGCCTCCACCTCTCTGGGTATTTCCCTGAGTTGGGGGCGGGGGGGGGATGGGCTGCACAGAGAGGGGAGACTTGGCTCACAGATAAAAAATAAAACAGCTTCTGTGTACTGAGCCACTACAGATACCAGACACAGGGTCAAGCTGTTTGCATCTTGACGTCATTTAAAGCCCACAAGGTAAAGCATCATTCATCCCAATACACGAAGAGGAAACTGAGGCTCAGAGGGGGAAGTAAGTTGTTATCAGGAAGGTCGAAGCTGGTAGATGGTGGAGGCCAGATTCAGACTGGGCTCTGCATATCCCTTAATGGTCTCCCACCCAGATGGCCCCGCATCCACCCAGAGGGAAGGGGAAGGTATCCCCTTTCTGTCCCTCTTCCCCTCAGGCCAAGTGAGATTTCTCCCTCCAGCTATCTCAGTGGGAGCTGTGGGTACCCACAGAGGGTTTCCTGAATAATGGATGCTTCCTGCCCTGGAAGAGACATTCAAGGTCAAAACAGCCACTAATCAGCCAGCTGTCTTTTGTTCTCGGTTTCCCCTATATGAGCCTCTCCTTCCTCTCCCTCCCTGCCTAGTGGGCTCCCTGCAGGGGGGCCAGCCTGGCAGACACGCAGACCAGGGCTGGACAGTAGCGGGCAGTGGGTGGGCACCTTCCCTCTCCTGCTTGTCTTCAAATGCCGGCTCCCGCGGTGCCCGGCCTGGGCGGCTTCAGGCAGGTCAGCTGATCTCTCTCGCCCTCAGTTTCCTCATCTGTTAAATGACAGTACCCACACCTCACAGAGCTATTGGGAGGTATAAATTAGGCATGTAATTACTGTCATTTTTCACATTAGGTAATTATGCACATATAAATCACGTGTTTGTAGTTTATTAAAATTATTGTTTGAGTTACTGAGTTCCTGATGGGTGCCAGACATTGTAGTTTCTTATTTTATCTTCACAACTTCGGAGGTGAATACCACGATTCTTATTTTATAGGTGAGGATGCTCGGACTCAGAGAGGGGAAGACACTTCTCCAAGATCACACAGCATGGAACAGAACTGGTAGAGCTGAATCCAAATCCAAATCCTAAGTACTCTGTGCTCCAAATGCACCTGTTCTGGGCGGCCTCCAGAGACCAGGAGGGCTTCTGATTGGCCCTGTGAAGCCCTGGGCTAATAGAGGCTCTGCCCCCTGCCTCCCTCCCAGTCTGGTAAGCCTACAAGTGGGTCTGCAGCCTGTGTTCTCTCCCCACAGAAGGGGTCACTCCACAACACCCCTCCCCAGCATGGCAGAAGCTCCCATGGGTACGTGTATGTCTGTATGCGTGCTCCTGTGTATGGTACAGTTGTGAATGTCGGAGCAAGACAGACCTGGCTAATTCTGACCTCACTCCACGGCTGTGTGACCTTGGGTGAGCAACCTCACCTCTCCCTGCCTCAGTGTCTTTCCTGGTGAAATGGAGTCCTTGTGCTCACTGTGAGGTTGAAGAGCGAGAATCCAGATCACGTGTTCACATGGTGTGTGGTGCACAGTGAATGCTCCAGAAACACGAGCAATTACTAAGATGTGGCTATCTGTGTGTGGTGGGAGCGTGTCTACACAAATGCATGTTTGTGTGGGAGTGTGTGGCGGCAAGAGTGTGTGACACAGGCAAACCTGTGTATCTCAGCCTGCTGATTCGGGTGGGTGGCAGCCGAGTGCGTCTGTGTGTGTGAGTCTGTGTGTGTGACAGATTAATCCTTGGACTGGACACTGCCACTCTCTCAGATTCAGTGGTCCCTGCAGGTCAAGGGTCACAGCTGTCCCTGCCTCTGCCTCTCAGATGGGAGGAGCACTCAGGCTCACTTTGGGGCAGGGCCTTGTTACCCATCCCTCCTGCAGCGACCTGGGCCGGCCCTTCCTCCTGGAGGGCCCCAGGCTGGGTGGCGGTGTGCAGCCCAGCTCCCACCAGCAGGCCCCCTCTGCAAAGAGCAAACTCAGCACCCCGTGGGCTATAAACATCCCTGACATTCCCCCGGCTGGAACAGGGAGGCGTTTTTTTAGCAACAGACTCTCTTACCCAGAAAATGAAAGGGAGGCGTTGCCAGGAAATATGCATATACATACATATGTATACAGCACCCGCAGCAGGCAAATAGCCTAAAAATAAATGCATTTTCTTAATCAGAAATGTCAGGATCTGTGTCGCAGCCGGTCTGGGCTCTGAGGGACCGGGGTAAGGCAGGCAGCCAGCACAGGGCCACGCACAGACGCAGATGCGGGAAGGAGGGCTGAGCTGAGGTCCTCTCCCAGACTCCAGGCAGTGAGGACCGAGAAGCCAGCCCTGGGACAGAGAACCACAAAGACAGCGCGTTTGCGTCTCGGCTCCCTGACAGCTGTGGCTGTGTTTCTCCAGGATTAGTGTTTGTGGGACAGGAATCTGAACAGTGATCCAAACGTCCAGCTCTGAGAAGTCAATCCTAGCATGGAGAATGGGATTCGACTGGCTCCAGGGGCCCCCTGTGGCCTATGGTGAGACTTATGTGAGGTCGCACCCCAGGAATGCTCTCGGACCACAGGGATGGACCGAGTCCCCTCTCCTCTGTGAGGCCCCATGCGGGCCGACCTGAAGAGTGGGACCTGCCCAGGACCGCAAGGAAGCCAAGGCAGCGGCACTGAGGTGCTTGACCAGAGCCCAGGGCCTCTACTTCCCTACCAGGCCACTGGGGGGCGCCGCTGGTGAATGGAGAGTCCGGAGGGAAGACATCACTTCAGGAGATGGAATGGGGAAGTCTGGTGAGATGGAAATACTACAACCTTTCCCCCAGACTTGGAGTTGCAGGAGAGCCTCCAGAACGGCCCCGGGGAGCTCCTGGGTGCCTTCTGCAACATCTCCCGGGGGGGCTGCTCCTGAAGCACAAGGGTGGCAGGGCTCCTGTCCCAGGGACGGCCAGGCAGGCCCTAAGAGCAGAGCTTTCAATCTCTGACCAAACGGGCTTAAATCATATCCCCAGTTACCTAGTAGCAAGTTAGTCGACCTCTCTGAGACTCTGTTTGAATAATGCGGGTACTATAAATATCTACCCTCAAAGGGTTGCTGTGAGGAGTACTTGGGGGAGGCAATGTGCGGAAACTCTTAGCACAATGCCGGGCACGTGGACTTGCTCAGTAAGCGGCCAGTGCAGCCGCATGGCCGATCTCTTATCCTGCACACAGGCCTGAACATGGATATTTGCTGAAGGAAGGAGCAAAGACTTAGACATGGATCCTGCCCTCAGGAGGCTTCCAGGCCAGCAGGGAACATGAATAGGCACGTGCTGAGGCCATAAGGAGGCAGATAAATTGTCTGGAGGCCAGGAGAGGCTTCTGGTTTTCGTGGCCCAGATGGCAGGGCAGCTGGCCTTTGGCGGCTAGGGAAGCTGTGAGAGGAAGGGGACCAGTGGAAGGACAGAGTGAGGAAAGGCAAGACAATGGGGCACTGGGGGTCCCAGGAGCAAGACCCGTGCTCATAAAGATTCATCCATCATTAAGCTGGCTGGCCATTAGTTCTCTTGACTCTGACCCCACCCCTTCCCCTCTCTGGGTCTCAGTCACCACATCTGGACAATGGGTGGATATAAACACACTCTCATCCCTGTGAGAGGGAAGGGCAGCCTCATGCGGGGCAGGTAAGCACCCCCAGGCATTGGGGCTGGACCCAGCCCCAGACCCAGCTCTATCCTTCTCTCATTGCACGGCCCAGGGTGCCTTCCACTCTGACATTCTGTGACTTAGTGGCTACCCAGAAAGTCTTTAGTTCACACATTGGATTAAGCAATAGGTCAGGAAGGAAAATCATGGAAGCAGCCAATAAGAATGAATGTTTTAAAACCAAGTCAGTAGAAAGAAGCATTACTGGTGGTTTCTTTGATTAGTGGAACCACGCAGGAGTTTTCTCTGTGGTATAATCCATATTTTCTGCAATGAAAACTTACTATTTTTAAAGAGGGGGTAATTCCAATAAGTATTATTAAAAATGGAGTTGGAAGTCCAGGTTTGTGCCCAGGAATGGCCGGCTACTGGCTTATTCGACCTGACTAGGGCATTTCTTCCTTGGAGTCCAAGCTTCTGGGCTCTGACACTGAGTTCCTGAGATCCAGCCCAGGGGTCCCTCTGCTCAGGGGCTCGAGACCCCCAAGCAGTTTGGGGTACCTCCTCGTGGCGGGAGCATGTGATGTGCCTATTGGCTCCTGACCCTAGGGCTGTGAGTCAAGGCAGTGTTAGGGGACAATCACAGACTAGCTGCCCCCTCCCCACCTAGGGAAGATCGGGCCTTATGAATCCTAAGCCCCAGGTTTGGTGACAAGCATCAGCCCTGGAGAGCCCTCGGCTAAGGCTAGTCTCTGCTGTGCCGCTGACTCACTATGATTCCCACGGCGGGTCCTGTCCTCTCCGTGCCTCAGTTTCCACATAGATGTACCCAAAGCCACAAGCAGGAAACCAGAAGATGGCCTACCTTTTGAAGTTCACAACACCTTTTGGGATACCCGTGGGGGTGTTGAAGGCCGGCAGAAGCTTTTCTCCCAGCTTGATGGCCTTCACTCGGAACACCTGTAAAGGAAGCAGCACGGGCACCGTGAATGGGTCTGGGTGGGCGCGCTCCTGCCGGCAGAGGGGCCCAGGAGCTGCGGGCTGGGGGGTGGGTGGGAGGCTCGGGTTCCAGTCCTTGCCTCACCGTGCCACTGCTGGGAGCTTCTCAGCAAAGTGCTGCCGCCCCGTGTGCAAAACCAGGGAAAGAGCCTTTCCCCCTTGACATCGTGAATCTTCCCATCGTTCCCATTTTACAGACGGGAAGGAGCAGAGAAGGTGAACAGTTAAACTACTGACATGGGGGTTGTAAGGAGCCGTAAGGAGGCCCCAGGCCTCAGGGCCCTGCTGGAGGCTCTGACCCCCTCACACTGTTCTTCTAATTCAGAAGCACTTGTGACCTTCTGATGCCTCAGTTTTCCTCTTAGGCATCTATTCTAAGGAAACAAGTAATCAAGGATATTGTAAATGTTGAATTTAAGGGCTATTTATTCCAGCATTGTTTATAATACAATCATGGAAATATGACGTGGAAAATATAAATATAAATAAATAAAAATAAATAAATAAATAAATAAAAACATAATCGTGGAAAAATGACGATATTCTAAACATCAAACAATATAGAAGTGGTTAAATTAGGACTTATCCATGCAACAGAAGACCAGGCAGCCACTGGAATAATATAGACTATTACTTCATAACAAAGAAAGGGTTTATAGCTTATGAAAAGAAAAGTATAATTTGAAATAGTGTAATTCAACTTTAGTAAAAATTACATGCACACGGATGCGTGAGGAAAGGCTGGGAGGGAAATACACCAAAATATTAACAATACTCGCCTAGGGGTACAGGGTAGGCTCAGAGAGGAATTTTCTTCCTTTGGCTTATCTCTCTTTCTGCGCTATTTTTAATAATAAAAGCAAGCCCACAGTAAATATTATTTATTTTTTATAACGTGAGATGTAAGTTCCTTAGCAACTGCTCCGGGTAGAACAACACGTTTCCTTTCGCTTCCGAGCTCGAGGCCGATCCAGTCTACTGACCTCCCGCGTGCGGCAAAACCAAGTCTTCTTGGGTCCCCAGGCCCCAGTATGGGCCCCTGAACGGCTCAGGCAGCTGCGGAGGGCCTGAGGTGGGGGGTCTGCAGGGCTAGCTGGGACGAGGCAGCGGGGCCTCTGAGGGCAGCTGTGCCTCTTGCCTGGAAGGGGAGAGATGGGAAGGGAAGAACTGCACCAGGGGCCTGGCAGGGATGGGCGGGAGAAGAGGATAGTGTCCCCCGCCAGAGAGTGGGTCCCAGGAGTGGGCACAGGGGCCACCCACATCAGAGTCCCGGCGGGAGTTTCTCTAGAACCCAGATTCCAAAGCCTTGGCCCAGAAGCCACCGGTTTAGCAACAACAAAGGGCTCTCATCTGAGGCTCCGGATAGTGTCACTGGGCCCCCGGGAGGCTGCGCAGTGCAGTACAGAGGAACCAACTTGCACCTGAGCCCACTCCGGACAGCTGACCGGCTGCCGTCTGCCCCGAGGACTGCAAGCGGTGTCTTCTTAACGCTCTTAGGAATTTCCACCTCTCCACCTTTGGAAAGCCTGTCGCTGGCGGGCACTGCAGGGTCTCAACCCCACCAGGAAGGATGCTGAGTGAGTGTGTGTGGACCAGAGGGGTACCACCGGCAAAAGAAGAACATGAGTCTACTTATTCTCTTGGAAGTGAGTAGGTGTGGAACAGATTCTGAACCCGATTCCACTCCGTGTGTGTGTGGCAGGGGGGTGTTTCCCTATACCAGCAAGCAATTCGCCAGACACCAGCTGGGTGCCCTACAATTCAACTCAGTTCTGACACTATCTTCCTGGAGACAGCATCGGTTCCCACAGTTTGAGGACTGAGTCCTACCAGACTGCCGCACCCCTCCCTCCGCCCCTCCAGACACCAGTCCTCAGTCTAGCCTGTTACCTGTGCTTCTGCACACCGTCTCTAAGTCAGAGGTTCTCACCAACCCCTCTGTGGGTTTGATTAATTTGCTAGAGTGCGTCACAGAACTCAGGAAACATGTTTACTTACTGGTTTATTATAAAAGGATGTAGCCCAGGCACAGCCTAACGGAAGAGATGCTTAGTGCAAGGTCTGGGGAGAGGGTACAGAGCCTCCATGCTTTCTCCAGGACTGGAGCTTTCCCCAAATCTCCCAGTGCTCAGCCACCCTGGAAGCTCCATGGCCCAGTTCCTTTTTGGGGTTTTATGAAGGTTTCATGACATGGGCACGGCTAATTAGGCCACTGCCAGTTGGCTCCTGATTCAACCTCCTGGCTCTCTCCCGTCCCTTGGAAGTCAGGGCACGGGACTGAAAATAACTACCCTCTCACCTTCTGGTTCATTTTCCTGGCAGTGAGCCTCTATCCTCAGGTGGGGTCCAAGAGTCGCCCAATTTACATAACAAAAGACACAATGATTGCTCTCAGTGCTTAGGAAATTCCAAGGGTTTTAGGAGCTCTGCCAGAAATGGGATGAAGACCAAAAACATATTACTTATTATAAATCACAAAGTATCACTATGCCAGGCATCTTCTCTACATGACCTTCAGTCCCCAGTAGCCTTGTGGGCAGGGTGTTGACCACTCTGAGGATGATACAACCGAGACTCAGAGAAGCAATTTGCTCAAGGTTGTGGAGCTGGGAAGTGACGCGAGCTGCCTGCCTTTCCAACACGGAGAGATGCGGCTGCAGGCAGCCACGGTAAGCCACAGTCAGGTGCCTAGAGGTTCCAGAGCAGAGTGAGAGAAACTAGCAAGAAGTATGTTCTGCAGCGTGAAAGTTCTCCGGGCTGGGAGTCAGAGCCCGGGTTCAGATCTTCCCACTTGGCAGCTGTGTGACCTCAGGGACTCTGACCCTCTTGTGCAAAATGGAGCCGCTCACGTGCCCTAGATGCTTCCCGGTGTCCTTCTAGAACTCAAGTGGGAGAAGGTACATAAGGGAATGGGCTGCATGAACTGTAGAGAGCTGGGCAAACGTCACCTGGTGTGACTGTCACCAGGCTTGCCATTCTCAGGGGCGTGCGGTAGCGCTGGCCTACCCAGCAGGGGGGTGACTCCCTTAGGCTCCCCCTGCTGCAAAGACAGGCCTCAGCCCAGGAGGGATCTGGGGTTTCAGGCACCATTCCACAAATACTCGTGGGAAATCTGAAGAATGAAAAGGCTCAGCCACAGGCACCCACTGTGTGCAAGATGGAGGACAGAGAGGTGGTGGCAAGTGGGGACACCAGGCCGGACAGAGAGGTGGTGGCAAGTGGGGACACCGGGCCGGACAGAGAGGTGGTGGCAAGTGGGGACACCGGGCCGGACAGAGAGGTGGTGACAAGTGGGGACACCGGGCCGGGCTGCATGGGGGCTGTGACCCAGGCCTGTGGCAGAAAGGCCACGGAGTCAGGCACCAACTCACCTTGGCCATCAGGGAATGCAACCTGAGCGAGTTCCTTCTAAGTCTCGGTTCCCACATCTGCAAGTAGGCAAAGACCCCCCCCACCGCATGGGGTGCTTGGGGGCCAGTGAGACAGGACACATCGGGTATGGTCTCTGCCATGTGGAGGTGCTACGGACAGAGAGGGACCAGCAGGGCGTGGCTGGAGGACAGGGTTGTGCCCATAACCTCAGGAGCCTGCCTGCTCAGGGGTTCTGAGCCAAGTGGGACTTTGTGGCCTAGTTCTAAATCACAGTCTCTCCTGTCCTCCTGTCCACACCCCAGCATCCATTCTGCATCCCAGACAGTCAGACTGATGACCCTTCTAGTGACACGGGGGAACCGAAGTGACCCCACAAAGGACTGCTTTTTACGTTCCCTTACCTGCCTCGACCCATGCGAGCACCTACACCCCCGCCTTATACCTGCTTCATCCTTGTAAGGATCAAGGAGCGAATGATTTCTTTGGACTCTTCCAGTGCAGGAGATACCATCCAAGGACTGTCTGGGCAAGAATGACCAGGCAAGGCTGCCTTGTGCATATCCTAGACACTGACACCAGACATCTCAATGTCAAGACCCCCTCGTGCCGAGGAATAAGTGACTTATGGAGGCACCTAGACCCCGTCCTTGCTATGACCAGTTCCTAGATGCTGAGAGCACATGGACATCAGACCACAATCCTCAACAAAAACTGCAGATCCTAAGCAAAGAAGAGACTCATTCTCCTTTTCCTTTCTGAGTCTCCCAGATGCTCTGTCTGTACCCTCCCTCTCTCTCTGTGTCTTCAATAAACTCAGTTCTCACTTCCTCTTGGCTCACATTCCACTTCTATCCTTCATGAAGCCAAGGACCACCCCAAGGGACCACTCCTCCTCTGTCCTCAGACCCAGCCAGATTACATCACTAACCAAGGCCTTAAACAAGTTCTCAGAATCACAGATACTCTAAGAGGAGGGAGGGGGAGGGTCGAGCATCAGAACTGAGGGACTCCAGTTGCCCCTCACAGATCATTGGCCCCCAGACTGACTCCTGTGAGCCCAGTCCCCACATCCTGTGGCCACCTCCCAGAGCCATGAGTGGCAGAGAGGCTGGGCAAGTACCTAGAAGAACACGGTGCCTTTCTCTGCTCCATGTCACTTTCCTGTTCTTGGGTTTTCAAATGAAATTCAGGCTTCATTTGGCTCAAAGCCAAGGGCTCCCAACTACAATTACTTGGGGACGAATTGGTCCAAGTGGTAATCTCTGCTGAGGAGATGAGGCCCGAGGGAGAGGCCTGAAGCGGCTGGGGAGGAAGAGCAGGCACCTGATGCTTCTGAACCCCTGGCTGCAGAAATGACCTCAGCAGACAACAGCACTGGGGCTTAGTGGGGACTTTTCTGGGTCCCCCGGCCACAGGGAGTGGGGATGATGTTAATCTCGGGGTGGACAGAGCAGGGAGAAGTGCAGGGAAGGGAAAGGGCTCAAGCCCAGGCATCCAGCCCCAGACAGGGATTGTGCTGAGCAACGCGGCCCTCTGGGTAACGGGGAGCACAACAGTGGATGACCCAGGTCCTGGGGACTTGGCCAACCTCGTGTGCAGATACTTGGGCTGCGTTTTCATGGGAGGTGACGAGGGGAAGAAGAGCCTCCCATTTCTACAGAGCTCTGTGGTTTTCCTAAAATTCTCTTGCAGCCTGGAGAATACGGGCTTTGGAGCTGGTCAGCTCGGGGTCAAACCTTATCTCTCCTGTCTCATTTCTCAAGATTTCTGTGAGCCGATCCCCACGGTGGAGAAGGAAGCAAGGCCCAGGGGTGGGAGAGGACTTGCTCAAGATCACAGCAGGTATGGTGTGGGGATAAGACCCAGGTTTTCTGACTCTGTGCCCAGGGCTCTGCCTTCCCACACTTCTCAGCCCTTCCGCTGGAAGCCAAGGCACCTTGCCTGGGGCCTGAGGCCTTGCACTCAGGGTATGTGACCAGCAGTGGCTGCCCATCTCCCATTGCCACTGGAGACCTGAAGTGGTGTCTGTCTGGTGGCTGGCTCAGGAGGGGAGCAGAGGGGTGGCGGTGGGGACAAGAGGCGCCCACAGGTGGAAATCATGAAACAACAGTCTTGACTTCCTCCATCCTGAAAACCAACACCTGCAAAAACCAGTCTGGCAGCTCTACAAGCCCCGACTGAGCCCACAGCCTGCTGGGTGCTGTGCGAGGAGCTGCGTGGATGGTGTCGAGAGACTAGTCATCGTCCTTAGAGAATTTACTACCAACCATGGGAGCCAGTGGGGCTCACCTGGGCAGCAGAACAGAAGCATCAGACAGAAGAGGCGGAAGGGCCAGCAGGTGGCCCCATGGAGGTTGGGTGGCCCCAGGCAAATCCCCTTGAATCCCTGTTTCCTCACTGGGGAAATGAGGGAGTGAGATCAGATGTTCTCCGAAGTCTTCTCACACCTGAATGGTCGAGGGGCTTCAAAGGTCAACTTACCTCTTCTCCGGTCAGGTAGAAGGCGGAGAGGAGGCCTCCGATATACCGGATGTTCACCTCAAACAGGGATGCTTCTCCACTCTGCAAGGCAGTGGGAGAGAGAAGGGGAGAGCAGAAGGTGGGGGGGCACTTGTGAGATGCCGGCTGGGCTCCAGGGGAGAGCCAGGCCCTTGAGACAGTCCAGGCTGTGCTGGGCGGTGGTTTTCAGAGAAGTTGCGAGGGATCAGCACCCGCAGGGCAGGCCACTACAGCATGTGGACAGCATTACGAATAAATGCTGGGTTTGGCTTCCTTCCCTAGCCCTCGCCCGAGGCCGCCAGAGCAAAGTTAGGCCTGGTGGCTCTCCAAGAGGCTCGAGAGGGTGGTGGGAGCTGCTGGTTAACGCCTAGCCTGAGGGGAGGCAAGTTCTTTAATCCAGCCACCCCCTTCCTGAGGGACTGTCCTAGCTTAGCAGGAGGGCAGGGAGACAGGGCCAGGGGAAGGTTCTCTGAGGTGGTTCTGGGGCAGACAGGGCCAAGCTGAGGCTGAGAGGCCAGAGTGCCAGGCAGACACCTGCTGGTAAGCAGACTTCTCAGCCTCTGGTCTGCAGCCCGAGGGCATGTCCACACTTGGCTTAATCCGCGTTTTCTTTCTTGGGTCTGGACTGCCAATCAGGGATGTTGGGGCATCATGCCAAGGACCAGCTCTAGGTTAAAATCCCACCTCATCCTCTTACTTGGCTTTGGGATGTCAGGCAAGAGATGTCACTTTTCTCTGCTCAGGGTTCTTCATCCCAAGGTGGGTTGCTCTGAGGGGTACGGGAAGATGCCTACCTGATGCCCCGCGTGGCTTCCCAGAGGTGCCCGCTATGACCTCCCCTGCACCCAGCGCTCCCCACATCACAGTCTTACTGCTGACCACACACAATGACCAGCCCTTCATGTGGGAGAGCTTTCCATTGAAAAAGAGCACCGTGAAGCCATTCTCTCTTTCAGCATTGCTCCCGTTTTCCAGATGAGAAAGCCAAGGCTCAGAGAAGGGATGTGACCCCAACTTGCCTTCTTCCGAGAACCCTCCCTAACCTGCACCAGCCTGCTGGAAATGTCCCCAGGCTCCCCGGACCTGCCAGCAGCTGGCACCCTAGGTAGCTGCCGGATGCCCATTCTCTCTCCCCCATCCACCAGGGGCCGCGTGCGCCCAGGAAGATATCCCTTCCTTCTCCCGCCTCGGCCTTTCTCCCATTCAATATGGTAGGAAATGGGAGGATTCTAAGCTTCCTCACACAGACCACCAGAGGCATCACGTGCCTCAAAATTATGGTAATAATGAGGAGGAGGAGGACACCACCCTACCTCCATGTCGGACTTGACAGTGTAATTAACCCTCCACGGTAGTTAACCTCACAACAAGCCTGTGAATTAGGCATTGTCTTTGTCACGGTCATCCCGATGGCTCCCCATCCTCTCACCTACCTCTAGAGGGCAGCAGAGGATGGGGCGGGGCTCCAGGTTAGAGCCTCTCTGAGCAGATAAGCCACTTCTCCCCTCCAGAGTCACTTCCCCTGTTGCTGCTGTTCTGTGCGACAGATTCAGCCCTAGAAGGGACTTCCTGGGGACCTGGCACCCCAGGCAAGGGAGAGAGAGGTTGTTGGCTATCTTCTCTCCCAGAGGAGAACAGGCTAGGAGATACGCATGGGCTGGCCAGGGCTGGAGGGGTGCCCCACCTTGAGGCTGGTTTTAGGAGAGGACAAAGCAGACAGTGCACGGAGCCCCACTTCCAGCACTGCTCTGCTGGACAGCTTGGGGCCAGGGTCTTTGGGTCTCCGAAGTGATAGGATGGAGCTGGCCCCTGTCTTTCCAGGTGCCTTTTGGCTCTAACACCCCAAAGGTCTCTGACTCACCACATTTAGGTGGAAGTTCTCTTCTACCCAGGCCTTGGCCTCCTGGAACTCCTCCTGCAGCTCCATGAGGTAGAGGGTGTCAAGGGAGTCAATGACGGTTGCCCCATTGAGGCCTCCTGTAGGCACAGAGATCGAAGGCATGACTCAGGCTCGTTCTTATCCTTTTCATCCCCAGCCACACAAGCCCCCATTCCCTGGCCCCCTCTAAGTGCCTGGGCAGGCTCTAAGGCCAAGGCTGGCCCAGGCATGACCCAGGGAGACTCCACCAGTCTTTGAAGCGGGGGTCCAGGAGCAAGTGTGTCCCCTTCCGCCCACCCCAGGCTGCTTTCTGGGCAGTGGACAATGGGCAGTGGGCTGGGACACCAAGTTCACAGGCCGAACCACTCCCCAGACCTTCATCTACGAGTATCTGTCCACAAGTCAACCATCAGTACCGGCCAGGCGCCTACCACTTTTCTGTGACACGGGGGAGACGGTGAACCGGCATTGGGTTTACACGATCTTAACAAACATTCCAGTCCTCTGACTTTTCAATGCCATTCTTTATTTTATTCTAAGACCAAAAAATAAAATAAAATAAAATAAAAAGATGTTCACAAATATTTATCCAGGGAGATATTTACTGCAGTACTATATACAATGGGAAGAGTTGGGGAAAAGCTCCAAATACAACAATAAGGGATTAGTTATATAAATTGTGGCTCAAACATAAAATAGGACACGATGCAGCCATTCCTGCAGGTGAGGCAGACCCGTGTTTACTGGGGAAATATCCATAGGATCTGTTAAGTTAAAAAAGGTAGGTTGCAGAAGCGCCTGGGTGGCTCAGTTGTTAAGCGGCTGCCTTTGGCTCAGGTCATGATCCTGGGGTCCTGGGATCAAGTCCCGCATCCAGGCTGCCTGCTTGGCAGGGGGCCTGCTTCTCCCTCTGACCTTTCCCCTGCTTGTGTTCCCTCTCTGTGTCTCTCTCTATCAAATAAATGAAATATTTTTTTTAAATGTAGGTTGCAAAAAAAAAAAAAAAAAGAAGAAGAAGAAAAGAAGCACAGTATAATTTCTTTGTTGTATGCTGAATGTGGTGAGCTCGCACAGAACTAAGTCTGGCAGCATGTGATTCAATGGTTACCTCCAAGTGCTGGGATTACAGGTGCTTTTTTATTTCTTCAGCTCATGGATTATTTTTACAACCAGAAATGTATTTCCATTTGAGAAAAAAAAGTTTGGGCAAAGAAACCAAACAAATGCACAAAGCAAAGATTCTGTGGCTCTAGGACAGGGAGTACAAAAAGCACAAGCTGTGAGACCTGGCCCCTGCCACTGGGCCTTAGACTCTTGTCCTGGGAGTAAAGGCTGAAATAATGGTGCAAAATATCATAGCTTTCCACACCACGGACTGGGCAGGAGAGTGAAAAGGAAGAACTCCCCATGTGGCACAACCAGAGCTTGACTGCAGAGTATTGTGAAGGAGGAAAGGAGGGAGAAGGAGAGGTGCCTGGGGCCATCCGGAGGGCTTCCTGGAAGAGGTAGCTGCTTCCCATCAACTCCTTAAAACTACAGTTAGGAGTAATTTCCTTTAGAGACCAGCATGCAGCTTAAGAGGTCTGACTGTTCTTCAGTGTCCTCCTTGAGGAGGCTCAAAAGCAGTGAGAACCACAGGCTCCATCTTTCCCCAGGGCGCTGAGCCCCTCTAGAGTCTGAAGCGTGAGCCTGGGCTTTGCAAGCACACCTGCATTCAGAGTTAGCATCTAATCTCCTTAATTAGTGCTTCCCTAACTGCTTGCTTGTGTTGACTTTGCAGGCAGAGACTCCTGAAACTCAAACCACCACCTCTCTGGGCCGGGCAAGGTCTCATAAAGGGCATGGCCTGGAAAAGGATGGGAGGGAGATCAGGAGTCACTGGGAGAAGGATAAGCCTGGAGGTTTCAGAATCCACTTCCGGAAGCAGGGGTTTCCCAATCCAGAGTCAGGCATCCCAGGACGGTTTCAGTATTGAGGTGGAAGTGAATTTCCAGAATGTCAACCCCTCCTACACTGAAGGATTGGTAGAAAAACACCCAAAGCCAAACAAAGTCGATCTCCCCTCGTCTGTGCTGGCTGCCTCCCCTGTGGGTGCCAAAGATCAAACACAGGAACGCTTTACGGTGAGGTAGAGGCGTGAGGCCTGGGAACACTGACAGACCATGGATGCTGAGATGCGCCCGGCCACGGAGTGCCCGCCTGGCGTCCATCCTCTTGGCTCTGAAGCTTATACCACAGGCCCTCACACCTGATTTTTTAGGGATTTTTGAAGGCCCCACTGCCCTGTCCCTAAATTTCACAGAGGACCCCCAGAGGGGGTTGGGACATGCCTAGGATTAGACCAAAGAAGAACCCAAGTTCTCTTGTTTCCCTGTGAAAACAGTCGGATCTGATTGCTAACCGTGCCCCAGCCCCCAAAGGGGCAGGAGGCCGCTGTGACCTGAGAAGGATTGAAGAGAAGCCCAAGGCCAGAGTATCTGATTTCCAAATCCTGCCCTGCGCTGCCTGGTGTTTTCACCCCACGGGCCATCCTTCCATGGGCTGAGCCTGAGCCCGGAGGCCCAAGGGCCTAGGCTGGGGCAGAAAGGCAGCCAGGGCTCCCGGTGACCCATTCTTCTTGCCAAGTGCTCCGGGGCCAGCGGCTAAGAAGGCAGATCACTGAGGGATTTACTGGCAGGGTTCCACTCTGCTCTCAGGTTCCTGCTTCTTCCCTCCGATGATCTCTCACCCTGGCCCACACCTACGTGTAGCTGGGCTGCGGGCCAGCGAGGCACTTATTGGAAAGCCTTTCATCCCAGGCCAGAGGTTACCCAGTGGCCAGGCTGGGCAAGAAAGAAGGCCCAGTCCTGAATTCAACTCTATCCGTACCTGCAGCCGGCCTGGGTCGGCTCCCCGGGGGGGGGGGGGGGAACACACACCCTGATTCAGTGAACAGGCACAGGGTTTCTATGCACAGAGCCAAAGGGGGACAAAAGTCAGGCAGCTGGCTTGGAAGCTCCACTAGGCTCGGCCCTGAGGCAGGTTCAGGTTGGCTCACTCTCCCACCTCCAGCTCTGAACCCCTGCGGTGCACAAAGGATTGCCCAGCCCCTGGCCCCTGCCTGCCAGGCAGGAGGTGGGTTAAAAGAAAACAACCCTGGGTTCAAACCCCAGCTTGGGCCAGCAACACAACTGCTCTGACTGTCAAAGTTCTCATCTGTAAAGTGAGGGAAGACCACCAGGTTAGATACTGGGGAGCCACTGCAGGTTCCTGAGCTGGGATAAACGCAGCACACGGGTGCCGGCCTTTCTGATACAGACACCTGTTCATGCCTGGCACAGAATAAGCGCTCAATCAATCAGTTCCTTGTTCTTATTCCCGGTGTCCTGTAGCTTCTCTTGAAACACTGGCCCTTTCAGGAAGCTGTGGGTTCAAATTCTGGTTCCATCACGTACCAGCTGTGCGCCAAGGCAAGTCACCGTACCTTTCTGAGTCTCACGTTGCTCGTCTTCGAAATGGGGACGACAGTGGGACCTACTTCCTAAGGCCACAGGGAGGGCTAAATGGGGCAGTGGATGGAAAGGAGCTGGCGCCGGGCTGGGTACGTGTGAGCTTATTCCCCCAACCGCGTGGCCCTCCTTCCCCCACAATGGCCCTGAGCAGCCCCTCCACAAAGTCTTCGGGGGTCACCCAGGCCTTGCGGTGCTCTTGCATCGCTGGTGCCTCCTGGGCCTACAGGGCCGTGTGGCATGAGTGCTGCTTGCAAAACCTTTGGCCCAAATGAAAGGAAAAGGGTCACCTGGGTCCTACCTGCGTCTGCCTCGGAGGCCAGTAACACCCCGATCTGGGTCTGCACCTGGCCTCTCAAAAGGTCTTCCTACCTCCAGGACCTCTGCCTTTCCCCTCAAATTCACCCCGCACGCTGGTGCCTGACCTGCCTTCCTAAAACCACATCCAACTCCCTCCTCAGCTCAGCAGCTGCAACAGCTTCCGAGTACCTGTGCGATAAGGGAGGGAGGGCTGAAGCTTCTGGGTCTGACGCTACAGGGCCTGGCTGATCTCATCTCCCATCCAGCTGTGCCTCCTGGACGCGAGCCACACCCTCCGGCCTCCACACCTTTGCACGCACGCTCTCCTTCGCCAAGGCAGCTGTTCTGTGCAGCTGGGCATACTCAAAGCCCCAAAGCCCATGTGTCCTCAAAGGCCCACCTCCCCCTGGCAGCGTTCCCTGATTCCACCCAGCTAACCCCCTCGTGCTGAGGGAGCTCCCTATCATGTGCACACCACTCCTGCCCGCCAGCACTGTGGCCTTGCTCACCTTCTAACTAACCACGAGCTCCTTGAGCTCAAGGGTCCCCACTGCCTCTCTGCCCCTCTTCAGCACCTTGTCTCCAAGCAGCCCCAAAGGCCAGAGCCCCCAGCTCAAGTGGGCCACTTTATAGCCCTGCCTTCTGCGACTCTTTGTAGACTGCTAGCAACCGCCTCCCCCACCCCACCTTCTCCTGGGCAACCTAGAGCCCACCTGGTGCCCTCCTGCCCAGGAAGCCACCAAGACTGCCACCCCTCGGCCTTCATGAGGTTCTGCCTCCCCGACCCTCCTCTCCTGAGAAATCTTCACCAGCCCTTCCAGGCCCTCACTGTGGGCCCCTATTCTGTGCACCCCATCTCCAGAACAAGGTCTGCCTCCCTGTCCTCACATCACAGAGAAATTGTCGATCTGTCCGTCCATAAGAGCAGGGCTCTGGTCTGCATCAGATGGGTCTCCAGGCTCCAGCAACAGCTCCTAGTGAAAGCGGGCAGGGAGTGGTACCTGGGTGGCTCAGTCAGTTGAGTGTCTGCCTTTGGCTCAGGTCATCATCACAGGGTCCCGGGATCAAGCCCCGCATTGGGCTCCCTGCTCGTTGGGAAGCCTGCTTTTCCCTCTCCCTCTCCCACTGCTTGTGTTCCCTTTTCCGCTGTGTGTCTCTATCTCTCTCTGTCAAATAAATAAAATCTTTAAAAAGAAAAAAAGAAAGTGGGCAGAGGAAAGGCTGGGAGCAGGCTGTTCCGTCCCTGACAGGTGCACGTACTCTCCCCGGTGCTGCGCCTGCTCTGAGCTGACCTTGGCCTTCAGGACAAC